TACTCTTTTGCCGAAACTCTAAGAGACAATTTTCTATTCGAACATGTTAAAGATCCGATTTACTATAGTGGGGAATAAACGCCCAAACCGCTGGACCTCATCATTAGTAATGAGGAGGATATGGTGGCCAAGTTGGAACATCTAACACCGATCGGCACCAGTTAATATATAACGTTGTTCATCAGATTTAACTGTTGCTTGGTTCATGATCAGAGCAGGGTAAGCAGTGGTTTGTTTCATAAGACATCGTCCTACGTGTTGTAACCGTTTGACCACGGTCATACACGTCAGTTAACGTAAAATCAGACGATTCATATTACGCTCAATAACCCACAAAACATGTAGCTAGGAATAGCCATGAGTTTCCAATTGCTACTGAAGTTAGATTATTTTGTTACTCAAATATCAGAGAATCGGATGTTTGTAGTTTAGTTAGTGTCAGTTGTCTATTTAAGAAAGTCATCAATCTCCTGAGAAAAACATGTCAAACTCCTAATCTCCAAAATCTAACTTATTCCCTTGAATAGTTCCTTGTTCATAGCCGCGCTGAGTTTGCAAAATTAGTGTTGTCAACGTGTGCAATTCCACTTTTTCCTTAAGCTCATTCTCTGATTAGATTATATGAATAGACGTAGGAAATTAGCCTGACCTGGAACACTGACGTTAATAGATAAGTGTACAGCGATCCAAATTGAATAGAAGGTCTGTTGTTGGTGAGATCAATCTTTCTGGTACGTATGCGTGGGCCGGGACTCTTATGGAATTTTATGTTTGACAGTTTATTGTCGGGTGTATCTACAGATCCCCAAACGGTGGTCCACTAAATCAAAGGAACTTAAGAGCCTTAATAGACAACGCAACGATGCTCAACCCTAGTCATCTCCTTATCATGGGGGACTTTAACTCTGGCGACATCGACTGGAGAAACGAGTTCACTCCAAATGACTTGAATAATCCTGCTACTCTTTTTGTAAAACTCTGAGAGATATTTTTCTGTTCCAACATGTTAGAGACCAGCACATTACAGAGGGGAGCAAACACCCAAGCCACTAGGCCTCATCATAACAAACAAGGAAGGTATGGTGGCCAAACTGGAACACCTTGCCCCAGTTGGCACCAGTCACCATATAATATTTTCATTCAGATTTAACTGTAACCTAGTTCAGGATAAAGCCAGGACAAGGTGCAAATAATACAAGGGAAATAACAGCAGGATGAGGGAAGAGATGAGGGGTATCCATTGCCCTGACTCATTAAGGCACAAGAACGCAGACACAACGCTGAATATCATCACTAGTAAAGTGACTCATTTGATCGATAAATATATACCCAAGACCAAACCCAGTGCCTCTAGGAATACGAGGGGATCCCTACACATAAACCATACGGCGGTCGAAAAAGTTAGGAAGAAAACCCAGAAATTCAAGACGACGTGGGTTGGGTCAAACGATGAGCAGGACAGGAGGATGTATGCAAGAGTGTAGAAGGGCTGAAAAGGAGTTCCAGAGGCTGGTTGTAAGCGAGGTTAAGTCAAACCCAAAGGCGTCTTACCGCTATGCAAAGTCGAAATTAAAAACGCGAGTAGGAGTATCAGACCTGAGGCTTGAAGATGGTAGTTACGCAGATACTGACCAGGATAAAGTTGAGGCATTGAACAGCTTCTTTTCCTCGGTGTTCACAAGAGTGGATGCGATTAACCTTCTTGCGTTTGAGGACACGCGGTTCGACACAGCACTGACCCACATTGTGTTCACAGAGAGTGAATTAGAGATAAACTGTCAAAGTTATAGGTCCATAAGAGTCCCAGCCCTGACGTGGTGCACCCCAGAGTGCTAAGAACATAAGAAGGAGTCTGCAATAGGCCGGTTGGCCTGTGCATGGCAGCTCCTGTCGAGAGTTACTACCACTCTCTATCATCCATGAATCTATCTAGCCTCCTTTTGAAACTTTCCAGAGTTCCAGCACTTACTACAAAGTTGCTAAGCTTGTTCCACTTGTCCACCACCCTATTTGTGAACCACTTTCTTCCTATCTCCCTCCTAAACCTAAACTTATCCATCTTAAATCCGTTGCTCCGAGTCCTAACCTGCTCGGATATTATAAGAACTTTATCTATATCCCCTTTATTGATTCCTTTCACCCACTTAAATACTTCTATCATATCTCCTCGCACTCTTCGTCTTTCTAGGGAATGCAAGTTAAGTTTCTTTAACCTATCCTGATATGGAAGGTTTCTAAGTCCCGGAATCATTTTCGTCATTCTTCGCTGCACCGACTCTAGTGAATTGATATCCTGTAGTGGACGTCTCCCCTACAACTGCCTACAACTGCGTAGCGGCGTCACCAAGCTGCTACCATCCTCCCTAGCAACCAACCAGATGTTACCATATCTTAGCAACGGAACTAGTGACCGGCGACTTCTCGGGTTTTCCCAACATGATTCATAGCGGCTGCTGCTGGGTATATAAGCTCTGTCTCTCCATTGAGATTCATTCTGACCATTCTTCTTGAACAAGCAACACCTCCTCCTCCGCCGCTGCCTGGCTCCCTTCGTTTCTCCTCGCCTGCCTGGCGGTCCTCGCTCCCGCCAGCGAGCATGGCGACCCACCAGCTGTCCTTCTCTGAGCTTCCTCACCAACCAACTCTCATTCTGCCCATCTTCATGAACAAGCAACACCTCCTCCAGCAAGCTCCACGCTGGCCCCTCACCACACGGCACCTCCAGCACCAGACTGTCTATCATATAACTTATAATATACAAGAAAACCACATTGGAGTTTCCTTCCATCCTGAGTGCTAGATAACATTAATATCCTGATACCCCTACAATGGTGACTCCCGGAGATAAGCACTCACACAGGATGGAGGAGACACTGATAACGCTCCCAGTCTTCAAGCAGACACCGGCTCCTCTTCCTGCCCCACGCACCACATTCTGACGACCCCAGCACACCCGTCCTGCCTCAGACGCCGACCCCAGCCCAGCAATAACCCCTGACGCGGCCTCTGTTCCTGAATCCGGACCCACACACACCCTCTTTTCTCCCTCAGGTACTCCCTGCTAATGTCCTGCACCCTGCTGCTGTCGTGGACCCAGCTGCTGTCACGAGCCCTAATCCGCTTCTGCTGACGCAGCCCCTGCACCTGACCCAGGCCCACACACACCCCAGCAGGCGCATCTGACGACCCTGTACCTGTCGTGAGGGAAGCACACCAATCATCGCCTCCACACACCCTTTTTCTCCCTTCTTCCACAGATAGTGTGTATCTAGACAGTTGTATTTCAGCGATCGGCTCATCACGCCATCGCCGTTGTCTCACATGAGGTATGCACCGCCCGGTCTGCCTCACATGTGCTAAGCAACTCTACAGACAACAAGTCTCCTACACCGCCTGGAGGGAAGGGGGAGTATTGTAGTGGACGTCTCCCCTACAACTGCCTACAACTGCGTAGCGGCGTCACCAAGCTGCTACCATCCTCCCTAGCAACCAACCAGATGTTACCGTATCTTAGCAACGGAACTAGTGACCGGCGACTTCTCGGGTTTTCCCAACATGACTCATAGCGGCTGCTGCTGGGTATATAAGCTCTGTCTCTCCATTGAGATTCATTCTGACCATTCTTCTTGAACAAGCAACACCTCCTCTTCCGCCGCTGCCTGGCTCCTTTCGTTTCTCCTCGCCTGCCTGGTGGTCCTCGCTCCCGCCAGCGAGCATGGCGACCCACCAGCTGTCCTTCTCTGAGCTTCCTCACCAACCAACTCTCATTCTGCCCATCTTCATGAACAAGCAACACCTCCTCCAGCAAGCTCCACGCTGGCCCCTCACCACACGGCACCTCCAGCACCAGACTGTCTATCATATAACTTATAATATACAAGAAAACCACATTAGAGTTTCCTTCCATCCTGAGTGCTAGACAACATTAATATCCTGATACCCCTACAATCCATTCTATAATAAGGGCACCAGAACTGAACCGCATAATCGAGGTGCGGCCTGACTAGCGCAAGATATAGTTGCAATAAGACCTCTGCACTCTTATTACTTACACTTATAGATATAAAACCCAATACTCTGTTCGCCTTATTTCGAACATTAACGCACTGTTTTCTAGGCAGTAGGTCCGGGCTTACAAATACCCCTAGGTCTCTTTCACAAGTCGACTTCTCTAGGTTGATGTTGTTAAGGCTGTGTACATTGTCAGAGAGTTGTGCAACGAGCTTACTGAGATCCTGAAGATCCTGGTTAGTAAATGCCTGGATGAACACAAGGTCCCCAATGATTGGAAAGTGGCTTATGTGAGTCCTATCTTCAAGAAGGGCGAGAAGAAGGTTAATCAGATAAATAAATTATTGGGTCTTATAAGAAGGTCGTTCAGATATCTAGACGGACAGTCTAGATATATGAACGTCCCTCGTAACGATATTCAAGAGTGAAGTGCTTCTCCATCTGGAGTACTGTCACCCCGTCTGGTCCCCGAGATATGCTAGGGACTGTCAGTAGTTGGTTGAAAATGTTCAAAGGAGGACCACCAGACTGGTGCCTGCACTTCGGCACCTCAACTACCCTGAGAGATTGGAGCGCCTGAACTTGCCTAGTTTATACTACAGACGGGCAAGGGGCAACCTAATTTGAGGTGTATAAGCATCTCAAGGGGCACTACTCAGTCGAATGTCCTCTCTGGGAGCTGGCGGACACAGCTCAAGAATGAAGAAGCCGCAGGTCCAGGAAACTGTGAGGGCAAACTTTTTCGGAGTGAGAGTTGTGAACTCTTGGAACAATCTACCAGAAAGTGTTGTGACGGCACCGAGTGTGAGCTCTTTCAAGACAAGACTTAACCAACACGTGAGCAGGTTCAGGTACATTCAGGGGCAGGTGCATGCCCAGTACTTGCCAACAGAGTGTAACAGAGACGTGACCGATCGCCCAAGCGGCTAACGAGCCGATCAGTTGTGAAGAGGATAAAAGTAAAAAGGCGATAAGTGGTAAAACGATAAATGAATCCTTTGCCTTTCAGTAATGTCCCAGGTTCAAGCTAACGTGGGTACTCCAGTAACAAAGGAGTCGCAACAGGGTTAAAAAATAGATTCAGACCGATCGTCCTAATGATTGTGTCTGGAATATACAGCACCGTCAGTCTCTGCTGGGTAGGAACGGCACAGGTAGAGTGGGATTGTGACGTCACTGTAAACACTAAAGGAAGCATTCAAACATCTAAAGTAAACTACAGGTAAAATAGATATTTAATTGGTAAAATCGTTGTAAATGTTCACATTGATTAATCAAATACACAGACAATGCTGGTATAGAAGTAGAGGTAAACCTTAAGGCAATTTAACAATGGCTACCACAAGGAAGTTGTCAATTGGGCTGTCTTCGTATGGGGTATACTATAGATTGAGTAGTGAAATAGTTTTGGTGGTAAATATTGATGACTTTACCGCCGCTGATTTTGGTTAATATTTAGAAGCTGCCAACACCTGCTTATATATTAAGTCATATATGGGGAGAAAGAAAAAATAATTTATTCCAAATATTTACCAGTAAATATATGGGAAGAAAGAAAAAAGCAAAATAATTTAGGTAAATTTGCATTGTCACACCGTTCTCTGTTAGAAAGTCAAAAATATATTTTTCTAGTGTATTTGTGTGTTTAGACCGAATATGACCTTCATTTCTCGTGGAAATTAGCCGTTTTTTCGATTTTTTTTTCGTTGGATGTTTTCCCCCCAAAAAAATCATGGCAAAAAACACTAGAAAAACAAAAACCAAACCTAACCTAACCTAACCTAACCTAACCTAACCCAACTGACTCTCACCATATGATGGAATCACCTATTTCTTACCTTATTGGCCTGGTTCTTGTTCGTCGTTGCATTCTGGGATTCTTACCCAATTCCCGATCCGACTAATTACCCAAATGTACCCAAATGTACCTAAATGTAGCCGCAATGAAGTCAAATAATCGTCCTACATGAATAAATCGGACTGCCAATCACTTCTCGACTAGTATTTGGTGTCACAAAGTCAAAAAAAAATTGAAAACTTAATTTAATCTGAGTTAATAATCTGAGTTAATAGATCGCGTGCGCTACCGAGGGGCGATACCCAACTGTACCTCAAATTTGCAATGAAGTCAAATGATGTTCCTAGCGTAAATCGGGCTGTGAATCACTTCTCGATTATTATTTGGTGTCATAAGTCACAAAAATTAGTAAACTTAATTTAATCTGAGTTGTGTTAGGTTAGGTACATCGCTCAATCTATTGCTCAGATTAAATAAAGTTTACCAATTTTTGTGACCGTGACCCAAATACTAGTCGAAATGATTATAGACCATCGATTGACTTTTTCTTATTATTGGAGTACATTAAGTTCTTGGTAATTACCGCTCCTCGGTACATGCGTGATCTATTAACTCAGATTATTAACTCAGATTAAATTAAGTTTTCAATTGACTTTAAGTTCAGCCAGCTGACTTCATTGCGGCTTTTGACCACAGATAATCGGATCTAGCGCCACATATGTTGCTGCGATATTTACATTGTCTTGTTCTTAGTACACTTTACTGAGATTGGAAGAACACCATGCGATCGAAAAAATGCTATAGTTTCTCCGCTTTTTTTCCAAAAACCTTAATCAGCTCCATATAAAGTGACACCCATCATGAACTTCCATGGTGAACTGAACTCGAATTTCAAAATATGAGACCCAAAATAAAACTCAGATTGGTCCAAATATACTGCGAATTAAACCCAAAATCATTTTATTGGTTCCAAAAGCAAAAACGCTTTTGATTGGCTGCGTGACGTGTATGGGAGCGCATGCGCGTGATGATTTATGAAGGGGCGAAGGCGCGGTGTTGGAGGAGGCAGGCGATAATGGCGGAAGGTTAATGGAAGAAAATAGAGAAAATTTTGGAAAAGCTATCTCTGTTATTATACATTTCCGCCGGTAATGTAATAGATGAAAATTATCTTATAATTAGACGTCTTATTCGAATATAATAATAGATTAGTGGTAGGAATGAACGGTGTGTAGACATAATAATACCATAATTTATCCTAAATATTTACCGGCAATTGTGTTAAATAGTGGGTGCAGTAGTACAGTATTATCGTGTTGGTTATTTATTGTTAACCACCCATCACCTTTTTTCACATGAAAAATAATTTTTTCTCTAGTTGTCTTGCTGTTTTAGATGATTTTGACATTTATAATCATCTAAAACAGTCCTTCTAACCTAACCTGACCTAATGGTACTAAAATAAAAGTTATTTGCCCCAAAGATAAATGTCAGAATCATCTAAAACAGCAAGACCTTCATGAAAAAAATAATTTTTCCTGTGAAAAAAGGTGTTGGGTGGATAATGAAAAATAACCATCGTTTCGGTCATGCAGCAAATTTTTAAATTTTAAATTTAGGTTAGGGGATAAGGTGAATTTATAGTAATATACCGGTCTTCCTCTCTTAGTTTTTAATATGTATTTCATAATGTTTAGACAATTTAAGGCAATTTTCTTAGACTTGTCTAAACATAACAAAATACATATTAATAACCATGAAGAATCTGATGTATTATAAAATTGACCAGAAGTAATATTCGCTCAATGGTTATCCTCAGGTTTTGATACAAAATTATATATATATATATATATATATATATATATATATATATATATATATATATATATATATATATATATATATATATATATATATATATATATATATATATATATATATATATATATATAAATAAATCACTGTAGAGTATTGCGTGATCTAGGTATATGCTGATATACAAGGAAAGAGAAAACCGAAGTTCCCAAGCTTTTAGTGTAATTCACATCTTCGGGGTGAGTACAGACTGTACTCTAGTCTGTATATATATATATATACTGCCCTGTTAATTCAACCTGCCCGGCCAGCGTAAAGTGAACAACATAACATATGGATTAATTGAAATAGAGACGGGCCGACCCCCAAACTCCACTTTCCCGACACAATATCGTTTACTAAAATAACATCTTAACTCTATGATGGTATTCACCCACACATGATATAGAAAGGAACAGTCAATAAACTGAAGGTTAGGTCAGAAAAACAAGGTTGGGGTTAACACTTACGTTGTAGAAGAGATGGGTGGCGTGCGGGAATGGAGGCTGGTTCCAAGGTCAGAGGGCAGGCTACTGTGCCTCAGGTGAGTCACCATCACTGTCATCCACACTTGTCAGGACCTCCTGACAAATCCCTCAAAGTCATCATCACTGTCTCTACCACTGTCACTATCACTGGCTTGGGCTGGCTGTGGTGGGTTCTTGAGCGAAGAACTCTGTTATGCTTTGCTGACGGCTGGTGTTTATGTTGTTGTGATAAACCTTGATGTAGGGCTCCATAGTCTGCAACAGCTGGGTAGTGAAGATTTTCTACCTGTTTGAATCAGGGTTGCCGAGAAGAGGGAGCTTGACTTTCTCAAAACACTCGATGGCACCCCTAACATTACTATGGGATAAGTGGCGTTCTTCTTGGGATGACGCACCACCTGCTCTTCACTGACGCCATCATCATTTACCATCTGGTGGTAGTCACATCAGGATCCTTATCACCTCCGAGGTCGCCGATAGATTGGTGGTGTGGAAGCCTACAGCTGCTGTTTTCGCCTTCTCTGGCAAGGTCCACTGCTACAACAGTCTGAACCTCACCAGTCACAGATTGACTCTGCTAACGGCGGAATGCCTTGCAACACATGTCTCCATACGTGACGAACAGTTGCTACAGACAGCTGATCCCATGCCCTCCTGAAGTCCACAGCTTTCTTGATGTTGAATATTCCAGAATTGTTTAAAAGTACTTGTTGCTCTGCCAACTGTTGATCCCCGTATCTCGCTCTTGCTATCGGTGGTGGTGTCACTCCATGTTCGTAACTCTTCCCTGGTGTTGGTGTATTCAGGAGCTTGAATTTTTTAGTAGAGAATGCAGCTTTTACATTACAGATTAACTCTTGGTCCATGGGCTGTAATATAGACGTAGTGTTGGGAGGAAGGAAGACCACTTTTTACGTTGGGGTGTGATCTAACAGTAGAGGCGGATGTCCTGGTGTTGTCCAGTAACAACAAAATCTTGAATGGCACATTCTGTTGCTCCAGAATTTCTTCACATCGGAACAAAACAGTCATCAATGGAGAGGGACAGTGTAGAGAACATCCACGCCCTTTACGTGGCGGTCAGCCGTGGACATTTAGCTTGGTCATGTCCATGGTTTTTTGTAGGCATCTTGGCTAGGTGCTGTGTGGATCACCGACGAGCTTATAGGTACCGGAGGCATTGGTGGCGGTGATCCTCCTTCTGCAACTTCGGCCCGAATCTTGCTGGCATTCTCTACATGAAAGGTCTTGGAAGGTAGCTTTCCAAAGACCAGATTCGTCCATGTTAAACACCTGATGTCGGTGTACTGTCCTTCCTCCATAATCTCACGTAAAGCAGGAGGTTCCTAGCTGCAACACGGTCAGCACTAGCTTCTTCACCACCAATGTTGATATTGATGATCTTGTTCCTCTTCTTAAACCTCTGTAACCACCCAGAGGAAGCATTAAGGGTTTGGGCTCTGCAATTCCATCTTGACACTGTAGCATACAGTTACGCGTCACGTCCTTTAACTGCGGTGTCCGCCATGTTCGTCGCGCCCTGGCCACCAGTAGCCTACAAATATTTTCCGTCTTGAGAAGCACCTGGTTGTGGAAATACTTGATCATGGAAGCACCTGTAGAACTTTGTGATGTTCATATGCTCTTTTATCTTGGCTGCATCCTTCTTGATGGGATTGTGGGTCGTTAACACCATGCTGGCCATGGCGAGATCAACCTGTCTTGTTCCTTTCTCAACTCTTGGATGATCTTGTATTTAATTTCGTAGCTTAGGAGCCGTCATTATCTTCTTAGGTGGGTCCAGGTATTGCAAGGTTCTTTGTGGTGATAGTGTGGTGGTCTGGTGGCAGCCATTTGGAGACAATAGATACCGATATACATGGTGTAGCCGGAGGGTGTAACTGGCGGGTAGGTCAGGGCTTCAGCAGCTTGGTATCATTATCCACAGCTAGCGGGGAGGAGGTAAGATGCTTGGAATCAGTCCAATATGTCATATGGACGTCACCGATAGCATAACAAAACATACACTCCCAACCTACTCATGCTACCCAACATGGCATGATGGCGGGGTTTCAAGCCAAA